TGTGAATCAGTGCCTCCAGCAGCTAAGACTAAGAATGGTGAGACTGAACCTTGCAGGAAACTCTCACCAGACCAAGGACTATTAACCCTTGAGGCTACCTGCCAAAGTCTTCTAAATCAACAAGGGTCAACAGGCTCCACTGACTCAGCTGAAATGTAATGGGAGGATTTTAAAAAAAACTTCTAAGGCACACTGTTGGTATGGGTGTTTAACCATTTGCATTGAATCTGTACTTTTGTAAATTTATATTCACTTGGACTGTTGTAATATCTGTTGTAGTCTTATAACAACTATACTCTCAATCATCAGCAAAGTGATAGCACTGTTGTTCTATCAAGCAGCGCTTGCAAAGGAATACCCTGTTCAATGGTGCTCAGTTTAAGCTCTGCTTGGACCTAGGAATCAGGGGGATATCTCTCTGCTGGTTGGAGTTATACTTATCACAAAGGAAGATGGCTGTAGTTGTTGGAAGTCAATCATCTCAGCCACAGGGCATCTCTGCAGGAGTTCCTCAGGGTAGTGTCCTAGACATAGCCATTTTCAACTGCTTCATCAATAACCTTCCCTTCATCATAAAGTCAAAAGTGGTGGTGTTCACTGATTACACAATGTTCAGTACCATTTGTGATTTGTCAGTTACTGAAGTAGTTAATGTCTAGATGTAGCAAGATCTGGACAGTATCCAGCTTGAGCTATGTGACAAGTAAAATACACATATCAGAAGTGCCAGGCAATTACCATCTCCAACAACTGAGAATGTAAACATTGCCACTTGACATTCAATGACGTTACAATCTTTGAGACCCGCGCCCCCCCCCCCCCCCCCCCCCCCCCACCCCCCCCCCCCCCACCCCTAATCAACATCCTTGACCAGCACTGGCCAGTAATTAACCAAAAACTGAGCTGGAACAGCCATATAAATATAAAGAGTAGTTCAGAGGTTTGGAATTCTGTGGCAATTAACTCACCTCCTGAGTCACCATTTCCTATCCACCATCAAGTCAGTCCGCCTAACTGGGAAAAATATCGTTGTTCCTTCACTGTTAACGAGTGAAGAATCTGGAACTCCTATCCTACCAGTGCTGTGGGTGACCCATAGACTGGGCTGCATTCTTTCAAAAGGTATCCAGGGCATTTCGTTATGCTTGATTTCTTCCATGCTGCAACAATAACACTGTAAGCTTAATACTTACCTCCTTGCTATGTATGACTAAAGTGCACTGAAGACCAGGCAAAAAGCTTGAGTTACCACATAAGTTAGCAGACCTAAGTCTGAAGGTTGAGTTAATAGGAGCCTACATGAACTGGAGAATTATGAATATGTGCAAAAAATTCTGTAGTCAAATTTTTCTGTCAAAACATGACTGGAGCCTCTGCAGGGTGACTGTTCCCTCTGGGATAATTAAGATTTGGATGATGTAGACTGTGGGGTACAGGAGATATGAGCTATAAGTATGGACACTGGGATGGTTGCAGTCCAGGAATTGTCTTGAGGACCCTGCCCCTGTATAAGCCCTCAGGATCGACAGCCTCAGTGACGCCTATTTCTCGCTTCAGGTGAAGAAGACCCAGATAATGTCAAAGATGCCCCTGTAGAAGCAAGGCACAGATGGTTGTCCATTCCTAATCATTCTGGACAATATCTGAGCTTGACTATGGTCATATATCGCTTCTCAGTTTGTGTAAACCAAATAATATTAAAAGGCTTGAGCACTCTTTGCCCCAACCATGAAAATGTTGTGCATTAACTTTGACGAGTTTTCCCAATTGTTTGATTTTGCTGGTGCTCCTTGATGTCACAGTTGGGCTACTGCTGCCTTAATGTAAAGAGCAGTTGCTTTTACTCACTGCTGGAATTTAAATTCTCTGTGTATTTTTGGACTAAGACTGTTGTGAGATTTGGAGCCAAAAGGTCCTGGCAGAATGTTCAATGTGCAGGTGTTATATGAATTGTGATCGAAAGCACTCTCAGCAATGCTGTTCACCATTTTGTTGACATGTAAGAGTAGACTGATGGGATGGTAGATATCTGGATATACTTTGTTGTGCTTTTTATGGATAGAACATTGCTGGACATTTTTCCATTTTGTTGCGTACATGTGTCCTGGAACATTTGGGCTAGGGGAGCAGCTGGATTTGGAGCATGTCTTCAGCACCACAGCTCGTCTACTATCAGGACCGCTAATCTTTGCTGTATATAGATATTGTAAGGTTGAATCAATTTGACCTAAGACCACCATTTGTTATGCTGTAGACAATGTACTTTGGGTGGGGAATTTTAATGACCACCACCAACGTTGGCTTGGCAGCAGCATTACAGATCGAGCTGGTCAGGTCCTAAAGGACATTGCTGATAGACTGGGTCTGTAGCAGGTGGTGAGGGAATCAACAAGAGGAAAGAACAAACTTGACCTCATCCTTACCAACCTGCCAGCTACAGATGCATCTGTCCATGACAGTATCGGTAAGAGTGATGAACACAGTCCCTGTGGAGACAAAGTCCCACCTTCACATTGAGAATAACCTCCATCGTGTTGCATGGCACTATCACTGTGCTAAATGGGACAGACTTTGCACAGATCTAGCAGCTCAAGGCTGGGCATCCAAGAGGAGCTGCAGGCCATCAGCAAAAGCAGAGTGTACTCCAGCACAATCAGCAACCTCATGGCAGGCTTATCCCCCACTCAACCATACCATCAAGTCAGGGGATCAACCCTGGTCCAATGGATAGTGTAGGAGGGCATGCCAGGAGCAGCACTAGGCATACCTGAAAATGAGGTGTCAACGTGGTGAAGCCACCAAATAGGACTACTTTCATGCCAAACAGCATAAGCAGCAAGTGATAGACTGAGCTCAGGCACCTACTCACTCCACTACAATGCTCAGTAGCAGCAGTGTGTACCACCTCCAAGATGTACTGCAGAAATTCACCAAAGATCCTCAGACAGCAGCTTCCAATCCCACGACCACTACCGTCCAGAAGGACAAAGGCAGCAGATATATGGGAACTCTACCACTTTCAAGTTTCCATCCAAGCGACTCACCATCCTGACTTGGAAATATATCACTGTACCTTCACTGTCACTGGATCAAAATCCTGGAATTCCCTCCCTAACGGCATTGTGGGCCAACCTACAACAGGTCAACTGCAGTGGTTCAAGAAGGCAGCTCACCACCACCTTCTCAAGGCCAACTAGGGACAAGCAATAAACGCTGGCCAGCCAGCGATGCTCCCATCACACAAATAAATAAATATTTAAAAAGTGCTGAGAACCTCAAGAAGAGGCCAAGATGGATCATGCATTTGGTTTTGGGTCTCGGGGACAGGGGGGCACTGTTCCAAGTAGGGGAGTAAGTGATGGAGCAGATGAATGAAATCCATGAAGTTTAAAAGGGCAGTGATCAAGGATCTATTACAAATTCTTTGTAAGATACAAGTAAATCCTTTAGTTACTTGTTTGTAGTGATGTCAAACCTGAAGCACATATCTACCCATTGTGATTGGTTACATAAATGCATCAAATGTTTTCTACTCTCCATACACATTTTGTCCAGAGCTCTTTACTGATGATGGGTAGACTCATTAAAGACAGTTTCAGGTTGTCTATTCTCAAATTTCTGTTTAAAACAAGTAAAATGTACTAAATTTTGATATGCTGCAAGGAACAGTCAGTCATTTATTGATGTGTTGTTGTTGCAAGCAATGTAAGCACAGAGCAGAAATCTTCAGATATTGATACATCTTCAGGAACTGACATTTGGATATCACTGATTATTGCACCAAGATCGCTCAGGAGCCAATCACACTTCAGAAAAATCTTGGAGCCTTTCAATTTCTCAATCGCTCCAGCTTCTCTAAACTGTTGAATTACTTGGTCAATGTCAAGCGTAAGACAAGCAGAAATCTCCTCAAATTGTATATAAGAATGAAGCCATTCTCTTCATTCCCTGCCACAAGGTTGTTAGTGAAAATGCACATTTGTGAGAATGTGTTTTATCCATGACTGATAAGGTAATCTTTACTATGTTTGTGTATCAATAGATTAAGAATTGATTGCCTCCTGAATCTGAAGGTTAACATGATACTCAAGTATAACTGAACTTAATTCTGCTGAGAACTGCAGTAAAATTATCCTGTGGTTAAAAAAGAAGAACCTTTCCTTATCAATTGTCGAGAGCACCCACAAGCTCAGCTTCCAGTCATTAAAAGACAGGATGCATAACCACTTTTTCACTAAGAAACTTTATCTACTCTCACATAGAAGTGAGGAATATATAACATTATGAGTTATGTTCCATGTCATTACAATGTCCTGTGGCCACCAATATAATGTAATTGCTTTCATTGGCCTGTCAGTATACCAACTCTCAAGCCCCACAACTACAGAAACTCTCTCCATTAGTGATGTGTTTAAAATTAATCATAAACTTGTGATTGATATTTATTGTATACTATTGCTAATGCAGCTCTCTAAAGGATTTGGGATAAAATGAAATTTGTAGCAAGGGCTAAATTGAGCTATATTTTACAGTACTGAAAGAAATGTATTTATTAATAAAGAAATGTATTTCCAGATATGATTTTCCAATGAGAATTTTGCAGAGCTTGAATGAAGAAAGACTTGTATTTACACTGGGCCTATCAAAACTGCTGGATATCCCAAAGCATTTTACAGTCAATAAAATAGTTTTAAAGTGTATCAACTGTTGCAGGATTTTACCTCCTTTGAATACTGACATCAATAATTTTGCACAGTGGTTTTTAGGTTAATTTTAGAATAAACACCCACCTTGTCCATACAAAACACAGATGGGAAAACTGAGGACAGTTTTTAAATTAAGTCAGCAAGATCCCATTGTAGACCCCAAAAGTAATTGCGACCAGAGCTGGATTTTGTAATATGCCTCCTCTAATTACCAATGGAGGTAATTAATTGGATAACTGAAATTCATAAATACAGACAATAATAAACATTCAGTTCTTATAGCTATTTTCTTACCTCCTCCTGGAAAAGATTGTTTGAGAGAATTGTGTTGAGAGATAATTTGTAGACAGTGGTTGTATTGAGACTCACAATATTTGGCTCGGTGGCACCATGACTGCCTGAAATCAGACAAGGAGTAAAACAACCATTTAGGGTCACTTTAGACCATAGTAGAATCACCTACAGATGATCAGCAGAGAAAGGAGCATCAGGAAAGAGGGAGCAACAGTTGGGTCAAGTGACACAAACCACTATTCATGTAGCAAAGTCTCTAGACAAAAAGCTTGAGTAGCAGCTCATTCTGACTAGTATGATCACAGACAAATTGATTTATTAGATCTGACACACAATCCATTGTTGATCTGCCTTCTATGTTAATGTGTAGCTGACCGGGAGATCCTGGAAATATTGGAGACAAAAGGTTTAAGTTAGTGGCCACTTTCAAAGCCATTGGCAATGCATCAGTGTCAGATCTAGTGGAAACAGGCTCCAATTCCTTGAACTCATGGGAAAGCAGAGCTTTCTGAGATTGAGAATGTCTTATGAAATCATGGCAGATATCTGCACTCTTCTTGTAGAAAACCTGTTCCCTGCTGGACCTGATGGTGATGCATTACCTCTATCTTTTGACTCTAGATATTTCCAATGCATGAACGGAGACATATCTGGGATCTTCCAGTCAGTTGCACATTAAAACATTAGACAGGACACCAATGGATTGTGTGCCAGATCTATTATGTCAATTTTGTCTATGATCACACTTGTCAGAATGATTTATTTATTGTCATATATATCTAGGGAGATACAGGGAAAAGTATTATTTCACCACAATCCGGTGCCATTTTGATGTACATAAGACTAAAAGAAAGTACTTAAATGAGTTCATCTTCATTGGCAGGGGTTCTAAACACACCTCTAGGACTTCCACAAAGTCCCCACTCCAGGCACCAGCACTGCCGCAGTTAATGAAACACTACTGCTGCCAAGAGTCAATGCATTGGGCCTACGAAGCCAGGAGTCCCTGCCAACACTGCTCTGATCTCCCAGTGACATCAGGAAGAGAAAGGAAAGAAAAAGAAAAAGAGATGAAAAGGAGAGAGAGAAAAAGAATGTGGTTGGCCTGAAACAGACGGGCTCAGCTAAACACTACCTGCTCCTCACTCGCTGGGAGACCCCAGGCTGGGGTGAAGACCTGTCTGGCTCATCCTGGCATTGCTGCGACTGCCACCAGAGACCTCCTCCTTCACCCACCACTCTCTAGGCTTTAAAAGAAAGAAAGCAAAGAAAAAAGAAACAAAGAAAGACCAGAAGTAAAAAGGAGAGAGGAAAAAAAGAAAGAAAGCAGACAAGTGTAGATGAGCCCTGAGCTCAACACTGTTACTCCACCACCATTTTGAATTGTGGCTATTCGGGATTTTATCTCTAGCTGGTTTCCTACAGGTAAAGGGTCGCATTAATTGCACACATACAGCAATCCACACATCAACATCAATCAGGATTACTCACAGCTTCAGTGATTCCAATCAATGAATATTTGGCTGCTTTGCATCTACAAGAAAAGATCCTTGTAGTTATCAGGTTCAAAGGAACTGCCATGATACATTCATCCTGTCACAGTGTATACCATGTGGAACTACACGGCTTTACTCACTGACAAACACAGGGAATACTGGAGAAACTCAGCAGGTCCAGCAGCATTTGTGAAAAGAGATACAAGGTTAACATTTAAGTGCAGTATGACACTTCTTCAGATTTTACTCCTTTTCCTACCATTCCAATGTGAGACAACTCTCAACAGAGGTAGACACAAGTTATTTAATCCCTGTTCAACTCCTGAGATCGATGGTCTGACAATATCTCAGTCGGACAGCTTGTGAGGTCCCACCAAAAATTGCTCTATCTATACCACCAGATTTGGCCATTGGGAGGAGGCAATATGATGGGAAACAGGTGAAACATTGGAGAAATTTGAGTTGATTTTTTACTTTTATGACTCTTTTTGCCATCATCCCTCCCATAAGCTGACCCCACTTCACTCCTACCACTCTGTGAGGGAGTAGATCATTGACACCTTGTAAGGTGAAGTCTAAAGTATCTGTCATCCTATTTAAGATATGTTCATATCCAGAATCTACACAACCATGATCAAGGCCTGAATGTCCCATTTAATTGCCATGTTTCTTGCACAGCGTTGGCCAATTAATCTTTGGAAGACATGCCCTATGACATGCAACTGATGTACATTGTGGTGCACTCTTCCATTCTCTCTGCAATTCTAGACAGTTTGCAATGAAAGCCTGCACTATCACAGATCTTTTGCTCCCATTGATAACTATCTTTTTCATCAGTGACCCTTGGGGAACAACAAGTGTACCTAGCAGAGCAGAGCTTAGATTGAGCTGAGCCTTCCAAACAGGCCCATTTACCACTGTCTGCTTGCGTTGATTTGTCCATCATGAGTGACCAAGGGAAAAGCCAAGAGCCTACCTAAATGGCCTCACTGAAATGCAAGCTTCTGAGCAGGTGTAGAGTAAACAATCTTTACTACTTAGAGGTTCCCATATAAGCTGAGCACAGCAAGATTCTTAACTTAAAGAAGAATGCATGTGTAGCCAGACAAAAAAACGGATCCATACACTGAAATTAATAGACCACACACAACAACAGAAAAACAGCAAATGTTGACTCTGAGAATGAATCTATAATCGGTAAATAGTGAGGAGGACAGACTTAGATTAAAGGAGGTCATAAACAGGCTGGTCATATGGCCTGAGCAGTGGATAAGTGTGAAATAATGTACTTAGACAGATGAAACAAAGGAAGATATAATGAACAGTAGGACCCTGGGAAATTTGGTGTTCATGTCCACTGGTCCCTCAAAGTAGCAGATCAGGCAGATAAAATGGTTAAGAATGCATGGAATACTTGCCTTTATTAGACAAGGCAGAGAGTTTATGGGTAGGGAAGTGATGCTAGAACTGTATAAAATGTTGGTTTGGCCACAGCTAGAGTATTATCTGCAGTCTGGAATAGGAATGATGTGATTGCACTGTACAGGGGTGCAGAGGAGATTTATAAGATGTTGCCTAGGCTTCAGAATCTTAGTTATGAAGAAAGATTTGATAGACCAGGGTTGTTTTCCTTGGATCAGAGGAGACTGAGGAGATTGAGAATGCATAAAATTAAGCGGGGCACAGATAGGAGTAAAGGAAGGAAGTCTTTCCCTGGTGGAGGGATCAAGGACTGGGGGCATAGATTTAAGGCAAAGAGCAGAGGTTTTTGAGGGGATGTGAGGCAATTTTTTCACACAGGTGGTAGTGGGAATCTGAAACTCACTGCTTGTGAGGGTGGTAGAGGATGTTATGGACCCAATCAGACCCCCTTCAAAATATTTTAAGAAGGTAGGGTAGATCCTAACTTTTTCTTATTTTACAGGCAAATGTAAAATGTCTGTTCCTGATGCAATGAGACTGGTCAAACTACTTGATATTGAGCAAAACGCAATTTATTTAAATACAAAAATACAACCAAAGAAAAAGGAACTTAGAATAACTTAAGATAGTAGGAACTGCCGATGCTGGACAATCTGAGATAACACGGTGTAGAGCTGGATGACAGCTCTGGTCATCCAGCTCTACACCGTGTTATCTTAGAATAACTTAACTCTATTGAAAAACATAACAGAATAATAGATACAGTAACTATTACTAATTAACTGTTCCAATATAGTAACATCCAAAAACATACCCCCTTGGCAAAAAAAAAGGAAAATATCAACACAGGTCTTCACATGCAGTTCTCCAATCTGGGAGGAAAGAACATCAAGAGAAAATTCAGAGAGATTAGCAACCACAAAACATTCACTGAAGCTTCCAATTCTTTTTTAGACCCCAATAGCTTCTGCTTAAAGCTAAACCTAAAGCATAAGAAAACTAGAAAGTGTGGTTTGTGAGAGCTAGCCATACCCAGGCTGCTTCCATTGTTCCAACTTAAAAAAGAAACTGAAGGCCTCACCAGCTGTTTCGTCAAGTGGTCTTCAGTAGGTGGCTCAGCACCTCTGCCTTATTACCTCTCTTCAATAAAAAACCAGGACAAAATAACCTATTGAAAACCACAGGATCATCACAAGGCAGAAACCGTCATAACACTTAAGGAGTATTTAGATCTGTACTTAAATTACCAAGGCATACAAGATGCTGGAAAATAGGGTTAGAATAGATAACTGACTGTTACTCATGGGCACAGACTCAATGGGCTGTAGGGCCTTTTTTATGTTGTGTACCTTTATGACTCTATGCCTAATCCTATCAGAGGAGATGGGGAGGTAGTGGCCTAATGGAATAGGTACTAGCTTGTTAACCCAGTAACCCTAAGTGTTCTAGCAACCAGGGTTCAAATCCTGCCATGGTGGAATTTGAATTCAATTTTTTTTTAAATTCTGGAATATAGTCAAATGTTGAAAGCATTGCTGATTGTTGTTGATTATTGGAAAACTGCATCTGGTTCACTATTGTCCTTTTGGGAAGGTAACTGTGGTCCTTACCTGGTCTGGCCCACATGTGATTCCAGACTACATCAATCCAGTTGATTCTGAAGTGCACTCCAGGCATTAGGGCTGGGCAAGAAATGCTGACCTAGCCATCAATGTCTACATACTGTGAATGAACAAAAGAAAACTTTTAAGGAATCAACTGATCTGAGCTATTGTTATCTGGAATTTATACTGTGTGAAGGCCCTGGTCAAGAGCAAAGATATGAATTCGTACTGGCAAGGTAAGAATCTTACAACTTAGCTCAATAATATTGATTAAGATCATTAAGATGGACAGTGATGTAGTTGATTTTGAGACTGGGTCCTGAATCTAAACAAAATAAACTACAATGGTATGAGGCTATAATAAATTGGGGAGCACTACTTCAAAGAATGACGGTGGATAGGTAATGGCAAGCATTTAAAGAGTGAACAGATTGGGGGCAGTGTACTGACATGCATTAGAACATGGCAGACAGGTAGAAAAAGTAGGAACAAACAGATCATTTTCAGAGTGGCAGTCAGTGAACAGTGGGGTACTGCAGGGATAAGTACTTGGACCCAGCTATTCACATTATATATTAATGATTTTGATGAGAGAACTGAATGTAATATCTCTAACCTTGCAGATGACACAAAGCTAAGTGGGGGGACGAACCATAAGGAGGATGCAGAAATGTTTCAGTGTGATTTGGACAAAATGAGTGAGTGGGCAAATGCATGGCAGGTGAAATATAATGGGAATAAATGTGAGCTTATTCACTTTGTTAGCAATATCAGGAAGACAGATTATTATCTAAATAGGGGAGTTCCAATAAGAAATGCGTGTCCTTCTGCACCAGTCACTGAAAGTAAACAGAGATAATAAGGTGTAGAGTTGGATGAACACAGCAGGCCAACCAGCATCAGAGGAGCAGGAAGGCTCTTTCGGGCCTAGACCCTTCTTCAGAAAAAGTAAACATGCAGGTATAGCAGGCAGTGAAGAAGGCAAATGGTATGTTAGTCTTCCTCGCAAGACGATCTGAGTAAAGATGTTGTGCTACAATTGTACAGGACTTTGGTGAGACCACAGATAGAGTATTATGTGCAGTTTTGGTCTCCTTATTTGAGGAAGGATGTTCTAACTACGGAGTGAGTGCAGCAAAGATTCCCGGGATGGATGAGTGAGGTATGAAGGGAGATTGTATAGGTTAGGACTATATTCAGTGAAATTTAGAGGAATGGAGCAGCATCTCATAGAAGACTATAAATTTCTAAAAACACCAGAGGAAATGATAATCTGAGACAATGAAATGCTTCTAATCTCTATCCCTTTGTCTTGTGCAGCTGTGAACTGGATAATGGGTACAAGGCTCGCTCTAGTTCTCTCTGTCTCTCTCTGTTGTGTTTTGTGCTGTCTTACCCTACATTGATGCAGAAAAGAAACAGAGTATATGGCCAATGTATTCACCTGATGATGTCGTGAATATTATGATAGTGACTATCAGAGAGAGGCATCAAATGGTACAGGGATAAAGTAAGTGACAGTTAGAGATGGAAAGGTTTGGATGTAAGGAAGCCTTAGTAAAATGATTATGGATGTGCAAGGTAAGTATCTGTGAAAAATAATGCAATGAAATAGGCTTGACAGTGCAGAGAACAGAAGGGAATTGACGTGCAGAACAGGAAACAGGTGAATGTGCTTACATTCGCTGGCATGTTTAGGTTATCAAAGCATCCAGTACTTGTCACGCTTGATATTATCTCACTTGTTACTGAAACATTCAACCACCAATAAAGTCCTTTTCGCAGATTTCCTATTCCTGTTGCTTTGGAAGAGAATCTCTCTTCAACCTCTCGCCACATTTTGTCAATAGGGTGTCATAAATCTTGGTACAGCCTGGGTTCGTCCTGTATCAATCACAGCACTTCTCCTTCATATTGTTGCAATTCCAGCAATATTCCATCCTTAGATTGTCCCTTGAGATGTTTCAGTTGCAATCCCGTCGTGCAGGCCCAAACTTCACTCACTGTCATGCAGTGGCTACCAATCCTGGGAATAATATTCTGATCAGGTGGCTCTGTTGAAATTGAGCATACTGATGCACCATAACTTATTCTGGCTTTCACACTTGATATTGCATCTCCCCTACTCCAAACAGCCCCTGGGTTTATTAGTGGAGCCAATGTATCATTGAATTAATAACTTAAGCACCAGAGCTTTTGTCCACAAGATAGTTTTCATTCAAAATATTTGTTGATCCAGTTTGAAAGTGTTAGTTTTATATTTAAAACAAGAATATAAAATGTTGCTGCTGGACCTTTAAAATGTTCTGCCTCTCTGACTAGGGATGAGCTTTGGAGTGAGTGATGTTCCATCAGAATTGAAGACAACGTGGATTAAGATCTTGTGAAGGTGTAAGTTACCTACAGTGAATGCAGCTGTTCAGATCATAGGTATATTACCCTTGAATTGTTACACGCTGGAGCTTTTTTATACTAGTCAGAAAGAGGCTTTCCTATTATCCCATTTTCATTAAATGCATCTCCAGTAACTTATCATGGCTTCGTTCCTAATAGCTTACAAAAAGGATGACTTACATCAAAGTATCTAAGATAAGAACTAAGATCTAAGAACCAGTCGATGAAGTTTATCAAGTACTGAAGTGTTTGGCAAATACTAATTGATGCTTCCCACAAATATATAAGTTTCAGCCAAAGCATTCAGCAGTACAAATACTTTGGAATTTCAGTCTCAATTCCAAATGCTTATCTCTAAACATTAAAAATAAATCCATTAATACCAAATACAATGATGTGATAGGCTGCCACAGAATCTGGGTTTCTTTTAACAACAGTTAAATTATCTACAGAAAGATACTGAGGCTGGAAACTTTTTACTGGGAAACCTATCAAATTAGTCCTGGTGTCCTCACTGTTGCGAGAGAATTTGATCAGAAGGGAATTGACAAGGTTGTACATAATGTTAAACATTGGCAGTGCCACTACTCATTTATCAGTGTGGATAGTTTGGTACATTCACATTAAAAATGCAGAAATTATAAAGTGGGTTATAAATGATACTGCATAAATCATTCATTATGTTTGTTGCCATTTTGCTATGGAAAGAAAATTTGCAATTTTGCATCAGACAAAAGCATTCCATGTGTAAAACACAGTACATAAGGAAAGATATTCACAGAGGGACCTTATCTATGTCAGAGAATCAAGGGCAAAACTTCCTCTTGTCTGAATGGGCTTGATTTTACTATGGGACCAGGACCCTGCTGTTAGAATCACTGGTTCTGAGCCTGCACTTGCTGGGTCCCAAGACTAATTTTGGTAATTTTAGTAGAGGTAATCAGTCATCACTGCTTGTTCTGTCCAATTAAGGATGGCAGGATAGTCGGGGCCAGGGGATAGTGTATGTGTGCTCATGATGCTTACAATATAACCAGAGGGTCAGCAACTGTGAAGCTTCAGCAGCACCATCAGGAAAAGCAGAGCTGCTGAGGCAGCTTGGAGACCTTGAAGATACCTTAAATTGGTGGTACAAACTGAGAGAGGGAAAGAAGTTTAATAAGTTCAGTGTGACCAACAATGTGAACATTCCAGCCATTCAGTGGAGAAAACCCTTTGAGGGGATCCTTGGTTTTGCTGGCGAAATTCTGTTAGCCCCTTTTGACTAAACCCTGTTAGAGGACTTAATTATGGAAATTAGCTCATCTCTACACAGCTCCCTGCCTTCTCTAACCAAAATGTTCAAGTTGTAAAATTGGTGCCAAGTTGTTGGACTTATCTGAAACATAGCAGAATATTTTCAGTGGAGAAATTTTCCTGTATTCAGTACTTGAGAAAGAACTGTTCTGAAAGGTAGTCTTTACAATTTTAACAGAAAAGAAAGGAAAAAAATAGAATTCTTTACAATTACTAACAGCAACAAGAACAAAAGTACCTACGTATGGTTAAAAAGATAAATATTTTAATTTATAGAAAAAGAGTTTGATATTTAATTATATTTTTTAAAAAGTTTCTAATAATGACCATTCCAACTAGGTCATTGAAAGGGTCATTGGTCATGTGGAACTAGAACTAACAGTGAGTGATTCTTAGTAGCCCTTCCTAAGATCAGTTAGGATGAGTTTCACCTAAAGAAATGCCAGCAATGACAGATAACAGACTTTTCAATATGTTCCACACTTACTAAAGTCAACAGCTCAGGGGCATAATCCTTCAAACTCCTGTACATTAAGTCGTTCACCACAGTTTGATTTTTTTTCTTCT